TTCATTTATACCAACAGGATCTGCTGATGATAATATCCTTGTAATTATGCCACTATGAGCATTCTCAGCAAGGACATAATTTTTTCTATCACGATCCTTTAAAATATTTATAGCTGTCGATTTACCATTATGTGAGAGTATTTCCTTGCCCTTTAGCCCATCTCAATACACTTTCCTACAGAATAGTAAGTATCTGACATTTGAGGCTCCTTGGTTGTAAAAGAGAATTTATGGCTAGCAGCTGACTTGGGAATGTATGTTGTAAACAAAGCAGCAGTTTTTTCCATCTGACTGACTTACAGAATTTTTGGAGCTATGTGACAGCTTCTAAGACACAACAGTCCAGTCATGAAGACAGAAATTAATTACTATTTTCCTATAAAAGACAATGGGCAACCTTCTGTCCCCCTACCCCTAGACCCTATTGGAATCATGAATTGGAGATAGCCCTTGTGTTGGATCTCTACACAGAAATAAATTTTACTCTGGCTGAACAACCTTGAAGGAAATATCTTCACTTGGAAGATTAATGAATGCCGTCTGCTGCATTACTTGTTCACCCAAGCCCCCCATCTCCCCGGTGTACGAGCAGGATATATTCAAAGGCAGCAGCAGACCTCGGAACAGCTGCAGTAGTTAGTGAGGGCTTTCCTCAATCCAACAGGCAAAAAGGCACCCTTATCTGACTTCTTTAAAAGCTTCAGAGTCACTAGAGGTCCATCAGAGGAGTGAGGGCTTAGGTTTGGTGAGACTGATGAAATTAAAAAGTGTGAGAGAGAGCATTCATAATCCAGCACATGGCACATTTCTTTTATGTGAAATCCTGGTTCAGGTCTCATCAAAACTGTACATTTCTATGTACGCGTGTATTTGTTTTACAAACTGGGATTTATTATGATGTAGTTTATTTCATAAAAAAAGTTCCTGACAAGATCAGTTTGACATCCTTATCTGCCTTTATTACTCCATGATTCCCATTTAAAAATAAGGTGCTCTCTAAGCAGTGGTATATGTGAAGGTCTTGTGGATTTGGGGTGAGTTCACACCTTGTGGTTGGATTATTCTGCACCTCTGAGGACTGAGCCGTGGTCAAAGCGAATGATGGCCCTACCCTGCATGGATTCACTACTGTACAGTAATATAGCTCAACATTTTTCCTCTCCCTTAGTGTGGAACTAAACTGATCACTTTCTTTTCTATCCATCTGCTCATTTTCACGTATTCAGTACCTCTGAAGTTTTCTGTTCTGTATCATATGTGATTAACATTGACTAACAGATCCAACGTATACCATGCAGGACACAGAGAGAGAGTAATGACATCATCTCTAAGAAACCTGTCTAAAAAATAGAGCAAGATCAAACCAATGCAGCATATGCTAAATGAATGAAAACCTGGCACCGTGATAGATCTCAGCTGGGGATTTGGAGATAAGAATTACTATCCTTGTGGTTTTTTCCTAGTCATCAAGGAGGTTTTGGTTAAAACACTAATCACATCTTTTTCAATGATGTGGAAGCAAAAATAAAATTCTTGCCAGTGAACTTTGCAGATGTCACAAAACCCATGCAATGATAATTGATGACGGGGACAGGTTTAGCTCTGCAGAAGAGCGTGAATCACATGCTAGACTGTGCCCACATTATGGATGAGAACGTATGACACATTTACCAGTGGTGTTTGTATTTTAGGAAACAGTGACTTGGAAGCAGATTTGAGCTGAACATGAGTTCAAAATGTGATAGAGTAGCTAAGAAAACAGTGACAATCTTATACCTAAAAGGAGGGAACTAGTGAGCAGAAGATATGGTGTTACCACCTGATGGTTTTGGTGAAAGTTTATATTCAGTTCACCTGTCTGCACATCAGCAACAGCCCTAAAATGATAGGAAAGGTCCAGAAAATACTGATTAAGAGTATTAGCAACCTGGAAAATCTTCCTAATTCTGAGAGTAAGGAAGTTCAATCTATTTAAGCTTTGGCAGCATAAATATATTACAAGACATTAAGCTAGTGAAATACTTTGCTGAACATTAATTTTGTTGTTCTGGCTGCCCACAAGTATGTTCTTTAGCTTGTGGACAACACAAGGTTGCTTTGCCCTCACGGAAAAGACGGCTGGCTGTTTTACAGTCACTGTGGTTAAAAGTGAACACAAGAACCACTGCTGTAGAGTAGCTAATGTACTATCTTCTCATTGCCTGACAGTAATTTACCCTACAGTGCCACATCCTCAGTGAATTCAAAAGTAGGTTAAAAGATGACGTGGTCAGGACACAAAAGTACAAACATGGGAAGCTGTCATAATTTTGTGGTCCCTTTAAACTAACACAATCCAGCAGCTGGAATCTGAAGCTGAAAACATTGAGAGTGGAAATGAAAACCTAGTTTTCTAGAGAGACAGCTATCAATTACATTCTTGAAGTTAAAGTTACAAATGTTTCTAAAAGATCACATAGAAGCTTTGTCTTTGATACAGGGAAACCCTTCAGAACATCTTGGATCTGATTTGTCCGAGAAGTCACATTACACAGATAATGCCATTTCCTTTTAAAAATCAATATATTTGTAAGATCAAAAAGTTATGAGGCTGCTTCTCCCTCCTTGACATGTGATCTATACAGCCACCATACTGCCAGGAGTATCAATGGTAAGAATATCTGGACTGAAAATTGGTTTATGGATTATAGCTGTGCTGACTTCAAATAATCCTTTATAAATTATGATTTCTTTATAAATGACCCCTTATCATTATGATTTAATGATAAAGAAAGAGAAGACACAGCTGGTTGCCAATGAGATTGAAGTTAGGAAAGGCATGGTGAAGGCTGAGCTCTTACTCTTGTGTATCAGCATGACAGCACCATATGAATTGATTGCATTAGCATTCAGCTGAAATGTAAGCTTGTAAACATCTTTCCATCACTGAAGGTTACCCAAGGTATTTGTTTCTAAGATATACTCAATGCCTGTTTGTTTGGAGTTTTTTGTTATATATATTAATTCTGGTCAATAACCTTCTTCCCCTCTGCTTAACGGGACATTGCAGTCATCATTTTCTATTCCTTAACAGCTTTTGTTCTTGTTGATTTAGACAGTAAAAAAGGAGGAGGTCATCCCTCTACTTACAGCCTAAATCCTGTCCCAAATCACTGCAACACTTGCAGTGCTACAAAAGTCCACAGAAATAACACATCTTGTCATTTGAATCCATAGAGGAGCTGAGGTTCAGTGGCTGAAGAGAGGTAAAATTTTTTATTTTGCTGAGGAGCCTTAGGAAAGTATATCCTATCCTATTAGCCTTAGCCTTTCTTCTTTGGAGGTTAAAATTGCATTTTCAGAAACAAGGTATCTTGCATGCAGGATCACTTTGGATTTTGCACACACACACACAGATACATTGATGCCTATTAAAAGACTTGCAGAAAATTTGAGCTAAATCCTGACAGGGATCAATGTTCTATCAAAATCTCAGTGGAGGACCCTTAGACAGCAGCACTTTCAGCTTTCCCAGAGGAGGACCTGATATACAAGGTTAATCGCAAAGATTCATTTTGTTGAGGGATCAGAAACCCAAAGCTTACTCTATATAATACTTAAATCCCTTAGTGCAACCAGCAGAGCCTCAGTGCTTCTGTCCTCTAAAGCTTATACTTTCTATTAATTCAGGATACCTGTTCATTCATCTTTGTTTCCAGGCCAACTGCTAAAGGGTTTTGTGGTTCAAAGAAAGGCACACTCATGGTTCAGAAAGGCAGGAGATAAACTGCTGGCTCCTTTGCAGTCAATAGGACTTATTTACTGTCTTCAGTTCTGGATTTCACCAAATACTTTTGTATATGCAAAGTTACATTTCTGTAACTTTTTCTGTACATTTATTTACCAGATCTGTACATGAAAAGGAAAATTAGAAACACTTCTGAACTCTGTATTCACATGGAGATGAAAGGTTTTCCCAGAAAACAGCTAATGTGAAAAATTGCAAGCATATGTGCATTGGTCTCTAATAATTCCTATAATATAAATTCAAAGTTCCAAACTATTGACTCCTGAGGGTGAGACACTTTCATGGGCAACTTCAGACTGTGCCAAGACAACATCCTACCTGGAACTCATCAGAATTTTTGATACTCAAAACGTGAATCTGAATTTTGTTCTTTGGCTTGATTTTTATAAAAAATCAGCAGAACACATGGCAATCCTACAGCTGACTACATTTCTCCATCTCACCATGAAGGCAGGGAAAGTGGAATGGAATGACTTCTAATGAAGAGGACGATGTGAACATGATATTCCTGGACTAGCCCCTTTTCTCTGTATCACTTCAAATAGGTAGTGAAAGCTGACTGATCACATTAACATTTAAGGGCATCATTTTATAATAATGGCTGGGAGATATCTTTGTTCATACTATTCTGTAAAGAAGTGACCTGAACAGAAAATACGCTTTGCATGAATCTCCCACTTATCAGACTAACAAACATAGAGTGACCAGAGTGTGTAGGAATTACAATGCAGTTTGTGGAAAATTCATAACACCGGCTGTAATTCATGCAATGGTTCAAACAAAAAAAAAAATCTGTTAAGAAGTCCAGAGACAGAATAAATATGGTCAGTTCTTTCTGCACCAAAAGAGCTATGAGAACCCCCATATGTTTTGAGACATCTGCTTTCTGTCAACCTGTTTGGCTAGTCTATGATACTACTGAAGCAACTATATAATAGGCATTAATGTATTTATAGCAGACAGGCACTCTGGCTAAAAACTGGAAAAATTGATGGAAAAAAACATGAGCTACTTATCTAACACACTGATATACCCTTATCTCTCAGTGGTGTTATGTCTGAACAATGAGAGTTGATCAGATCAGATGAAAGTTTTAGTGAAATGGACTCATGGTTACAACATATTTTACTGAAAATGGCCTTGCTTCAGGTATGGTCACAAATATTCTGAGTGTGAGTGTATGTAAAAAGATAAGGACACTATCTACATTTACCTACTCTGATCCCAGTTGGCTGCAAAAAGCAGAAGAATCTTCCTGCCACAGTGGTCACGATTTTCCAGTACTCCCGGGAACCCATCTGTCAGAGCCCTTTTGATTCCTGGATCATCAGCCTTGAAGTTTTTGAACATATCCAGATTTAATTGGCGGTACTGGAAGTACTGAGCCAGCAGTCTGAAGGCCTCAGTTTGGTGGAACTTTCTGGCTCGGAGAAATCTCAAGATGAAGGCATCATCTGTACGTAAAAACCCAATGTCAGGCCTCGTGATGATCATGTCCCTGACTTGCTGGATATCCTGATGCAAAATGTCTGGGTTTTCATTCAGTTCCAGGCGGGCTTTTTCTATAGTCTCTGGACTAAGTCCAGCTTGTAAATGGGTCATCTCTGCAAAAACCTCTTTTCCAAATCCCTAACTTCAGATATTTTAGTAGGAGAAGTGCTGATCCCATTCAATGGATGGTCTGCTGTGAGCGTGAGCCATTCAGAAGCTTTTTGCCATCAAGCTGATTTTTAACAAATGAAAGCAAAGGGCTTTTCTTATTCTTGCAGAAAGAGTAACAGGCAGTTCACATGTAGTATAATCCATCCAAAGGAAAGTGCTGTTTATTCCATCACTTACTAAAAGAAAAAGCAAATATATAAAAGAAAGATTAAAAATATATATAAAGCTTACAGGAATGCATTTCTGAACTTTATATAGCAATAAAACTGCTTAGTGTGCTTCATATGTAAGAGGATATCAGTCAAATAATTTCAGAATGGGTGCATTTAAGATAAGGCAGTCACTGACATCTTGAATGTATTCAAGCTTTCAGAAAGGCAATCTGATTAATTGGCAATTAATACTAAAATGTATCAACTTATTATTAGAATACACTTTGCAAAGTTGTCTTATAGAAGTGTGGGAGATCCAGCATCCCATAACTCCAAACCTGGGATGACAAAAGCAAAAATAATAGTAATTTTTTTCCACCACTAACAGAAGCTACATTTCAGCTCCCCAAGTATGCAGATTTACACTTATAATAAGTATAACAACTGGTTGATTTCATTTTATCAGCCGTACTATCAGCTTGTAGATTTCCTTGAGTTAGTCCCTGAGCTGATTGTAAAAATTATTAAAACCCCCCCCAAAAAAAACTTCACCAACATCAGGGCTATTTTGTACTTGGTAAAACCTCACTGAAAATATTTCCCATTGAGACTTAATACAGCTTCATGGGAAACTTCCCATGATTAAAGTGTTTGATGAATTTAATCCAATAGGATTGGTGTTTTAGTTGAAGAGGTGCATTTTATTCCAAATTCTTTTTTTTAGCATCTTGTAGCTTCCCTGAATACCTGGTTCTGAATTTCATTTTCATTCCTGTACTTTACCTCGAATTTGTTTTTACAAGTGATAGAAGAAAAGCTGCTTAAGCTGTTATGTATGAGCAAAATGGTACAGTGAATCTCTTACATTTCAGTGACATAATTAGCAAGAGGCTGTCATCGAAGTCTGTGTAGTTACACTTGTGTGAAATGAGATCAAGGTTTGTTCCAATGTGAAATGTGTGTGAAGAAAGATCAAGATCCATCCAATTTTTCAGCCATCACAAAAACAGACAAGCAAACAAAAATCCCCACCGCTTAACTGATCTCTCTCTTTCTAATTTCTGAAAAAGAAAAATTCGTTAAAAATTAAAAGGGAATCCCTCAGTGAAAGACATACTTTATTGTGTTTGAAGAAAGCTGTTTGGAACATTATGAATTATTTATAGCAAAACAACCATTTTGCTCAGCTACTCCCCTGGGTTCAGCATTCTCCTATCAAACAAAGGGGACAGCAACAGCCAGAGCATTTCTTCATCCAGGGGCTGCCCAAAGTTACATTGCAGGACCTGGAAATCAATCACCACAAGGGATGCCCGAGTTCCCTGTTTTGTGAGCTTGCATGTCATTGAGAAAAACTACGTTTCAGATGCCGCAGCTGCAGCCCTGGGATGAGATCCCTAAATCTGAATACAGAGAGTTTCTGCCTATTTGCTTAACGGACATTTGTGGTGGGAGATAAGCTTTTCCTTCAACACCAATGCGCATTAGACTTGTCTGTGGGTGATACAAAGGAGAGTTCGTTAAGCAGTCTCTTTCTGTATTCACTGCAGAGCTGGAGTGAAGAAGAGCTACCTGGAGGGCAGAGTATCAGGTGATTCATCAGCCTGGGAAAACTTGGGAAAAAGCCGGGAGGAAAGAAGGCTGGCTGCCTTTGACAAGTCACTATGGAGTGCAAATGACTCCAGAAAAACATGGCCTGAAGTTTTGAGGGGGTAATTTATGGGTCCAAGTTATTCAATTCTTAAAGAAATTAGAGTTGTATTAAAGGTGGATGGCACACATAAAAATAAAGTAATAGTTACTTGCTTTCCACTTGCCCTTATTAGACCAAAGTAGGATAACTCTGATGCTATCAACTGAATTTCACTGATGTATGCCATGGGAAAATCAGGCCAACATTTTGTGCTTAAGATCTCAAATTAATGGTGGCATTAGCATTTTCTTGCATAAATCATGGTTTTAGTTACAATTGCTTCCATGAGCTGGTTAGGGGAGCTCAGTGTGTTTAAGTGCGACACAGTAACTGAGGGAGCATAGTGTAAGGATTGGTTTTTTCCCTAGTTTTAACAGCAAGTCATACCCTAAGCAGCTGCTTGTGCTTGAGGGTGCTTGGCAGAGGGGTGGAGGTTATTTGCAAGCAAGGAGCTTATTTGGGGTCTGTGCCAGCTCTGGCTCAGGGCTCAATATGAATTCGAACACCTTTGGAGCTCCTGTGACTTAGAATTACAGAATCATAGAATCCCAGAATGGTTGGGTTAGAAGGGACCTTTAAAGATCATCTAGTCCAACCCCCTTGCCATGGGCAGGAACATCTTTCACTGGATCAGGTTGCTCAAAGCCCCATTCAGCCTGACCTTGAACACTTCCATACAGTGGGCCATCCACTGCTTCTTTGGGCAACCCATTCCAGTGTCTCACCACCCTCATCATAAAGAATTTCTTCTCTATATCCAACCTAAACCTACCCTCTCTCAGTTTAAAACCATTAGTTCTTGATCTATTACTTCAGGCTCTAGTAAAACGTCTGTCCCCATCTTTCTCATAGGCTCCCTTTAAGTACTGAAAGGCTGCAGTAAGGTCCCCAGAGCCTTGTCTTCTGTAGGCTGAACAACCCCTGCTGTCTCAGCCTTTCTTCATAGGAGAGGTGCTCCAGCCCTCTGATCACTTTTGTGGCCCTCCTCTGGACCTGCTCTAACAGGTCAAGGACTTGTGGCAGTTAACTGTCACGCCCAGTGGGTTCATCCATTTTCTGAGAGTTTGTGGAAGTAGAACTGTCCCATCCTCTGCTCCTTTTCTGATTCCTATCTCTAGCAAGGTGTTTCTTTGGAAATAAAGCAAATTCTTTAAAGGTCAGCTGCAGTCTACTCCAGAAGACAATGGGGTTAGACCAAGGACAGAAAGTCTGGCCCTTCAGATTTCCTTATAGGATCCCCAAGCATTTAGTGTCAAAAATTGTGCTACTTATTATCATTAAAGTTTCCTAGGTTTTTTTACGTTGTTTAAATGGATTAGCACCCTTGATGCCCAGGATGATCCCAAGGTGAGGGAGATACAGTCTTCTCCTGTCAGATGTTGTTGCCAAAGAGCAACTTACAAATACTCAGTCTAACACAAGATACATTTTTAAATGCATTTCAGAGTTTTCTCATAGTGAGCTGAGCTATAGCCATGGGCTACAGCTTACAGGACAGCCTATAGATTATCCTGATTATCAGCCAGAATAGAGTTTGCACTAAAATACCGTATTGTCATAATGTTATATATTGCAAAATAATTCAAAATGTGTATGAACAATGTTGTCGCTATCTGAATCATAACACAAATCATGGGGTTAGTAGTAATCCACTCTAGCACCATTGACTTCAAGGAGTCTGATTTATATCAGTGGATGATTTGGTTCTCCCACTGCTTACCTTGACAATAAATTTAATGCTCCATAGCCACCCAGTTTAATTGTCATTGTGCTTTCTCAAATGGTACTGATTTATTCTGGTTCCCAAAGGTATAACAGAAGCACCTTCTCCATTTTCACTCCCTCCCACACACGGCAATTTCTCGTTGTCTTCCGGTGCTGTGTACAGCTCTGATCCATCTGCCAATTTTTCAGATGTTTACATCTTTGTTCTGCTTTTTTTTTCTTCCCAAATGAAGATGCTGGCCTTTTTTCCCTATCTTGAATATTGTTGCCACGTATTGGCACACTAGACTCTTTGTTATAGTCTCAACAACTGGTTTTCTGTGTTGTGACTCTTTGTTCCCAAAGGACTATTTGCTCTCCTGATATCTTTTCACAATGACTTACAATAAATCATCCCTCCAAAGGAACAAACCCCAGTTTTAAACAAGGAAAAATAATTAACAGAGTTTTGAAACACAGCATATTAATACAGGGGAAAAAAAAAGGGAAATTTCCACCAAAATTGTGATGTCACATACCATTTCACCTTATTCATTCTCATTCCCAACAAGAGAACCACAGGGGACAGAGTGGCTTTAGGATGGGTAAAATACTGGAAGTGGGATACAGTCTTCAGACAAACAGGTTACATTTTTGGCCAATCCTCAAAAATAAAATTTAGTTAATAATAAAATGTATAGTAATACTAATAAGTAACTAAAATGAAAATAATATCTTAAGAAAGTATATATAGCACTTCCCATCCAAAGATCTTAATATGCTTTACTGCTCTCCCATCAATGACAGCTTCTGGATCAGCATTCAACCCCTATTTGCTCTACATCCCCTGGAAACTTGGCCAAAACCTGCTCTCAGTGATGATGACGCTTGTCTGGATCATTTTGTTCCTGCCTGCTTAACTGTCCCTGCAACACCGTTTGCCTCTTGAAGCATTGTCCTCATGTCCATTTGGCCCTTCCCTATCCACTTCAGTTCCAGAAAGATTTTGGTTGTCTCTGTCTACCAAGTGTTTTCCATTCACTCCAAAGCTATATGCCAGGTGAAAATTCATTGCCACTGCTTTCAAACAGGGAAGGCACTAGGGTTTGATCCTCACCTGGTATTAATAGGCATCACTGTTATGATTTGTCTCATTGTATAATTCCTAATTCCTAGCATTCTTACAGGTATGAGCTGCTAAAATCATGCCAGAAAAGAAGGGAGTGGGGAGGGAGGGAAAATGGTAATCTAGAATGATTTAACCTCAGAGTCTGGGTGTCATCTCATTAAATTCCTTTTTAAAAAATATTTTGATGTTAACTGTGGAAAACATCTTGGGGCTATGTTCTGCTTTGCAGGGATTGCTCCATAAAGGGCAGGGGAGGATGAAT